TTTCTTGATGCATATCTGAACAATAATGTTCTATGTAAGGTAAAAGTAAATGTTCCTTCATTTGCTATAAAAAAAATTTAGCTTCATTTTATTACACATTTCTTAACCATACTCAGTACGGTTAACTTTGAATTAGCTTCATACATTTTCCGTTCCCAAAATTACGATTAGTGACTTCCCTTATTATAATATATTGCACACAGTACACTCAAATTGACATATGTAATGTGACACACTAAATAGTATGTATATAATATATACTTAATATATTTATTGACGTATAATTATTTTATGTTTAAAGGTACACTAATATGGATGTTCAATAATATAACATATGATACATGTATAATTTTATAGTTATCAACCTACTACTTAGTACTTACTATACTATAGWWMGTACACGTAGAATAATAGTATATGAAGACAAAAAAAGGTCATAAAAAYTTTTTTTAAGAATTTTTAATATTATGTATTAGTATTAATTTTTGTTATACTTTGCTTTTATTATTTTTTTATTTCAGTTGGTACAAACAATTGGTTGAAAATACTCAAACAAAAAAATTAGATCAATGCAAAGTAATTTTTACAATAACAAATCGAAAAAAAATTATTTTTATTTGTCTCTTTAGTCTATATTTTATCAGCCTTAAATCTTGATCATTGTTATAATCATAATATTATGATCCAAATAAAAATAATATTTGGGAAATCTTGATGATTTCACAGTGAAAAAACAAAGATAACTATACATTTAAAAAATAATTCATACACAACTTAGATACTAGGTATTATAGATACTTACACATTTAAGAATTAATAAAAAAATTTTTTTACCTACTTCATTAGGTAGATTTTTTATTTAAAGTAGACACTAAGTATAAGGCGAGTCTTCAAATTTACAGTAATCATTGAAGGCATGCACTGTAGGTAAATGTTTCCCGTATTCAGGATCAAGTTTATTGTATATACAACGACCGTCGTTGAATAACGCATATCTCTAATCGACAACATTGGAGGGATTTTCGTCAAAGTCTGATGGTGTATCTATGTGTTTCTTCAATATGTCTTGTAATTTTTCAAAAGTGTATTTGGTGGTCTTAATTATACCATCTACGACTTCGATACACAAAATACTGACCACAAGTCATATTGCTTCCTTATAAATGGAAAAAATTTGCACACTGAATTTTTTAACATACAGAAGTCCGGCCGCAGTCAAAATTGTATGATTTTYAAAAGCGACGTACGATTTATAAAGTTTCAAAATATTTAGAAACATAATTTTTTCATTTTCATTTTTACCGAAATCGTTGTGTATAATATTGACTTCTAATTGTTTGTACATAAAATAGAACACTTTTTTTTTAATTTCACGATTTCCTTGTACTTGAAAATATCACGGATAGACTTTTGCCAATAATTACACGAGTTGGAACTTTTTTCATGGATTTGTTTAATTTTAAGAGCACCTCAATGTAAAATTATTCATCAGTCATGGAGGTATGTCAGGAATTTACGAAACAGCGGATGCTAGGGTACCAGTTCTTAGATTCCCATTATTTTGCCGAGGAATATACTTTAGAGATAATTCTTGGTTAATGCGGGAATGGTCATTTCCATGGATATTTTATCAATTAAAAAGGATACATTTTTAAGAAATGTATTAGAATTAGTAAATAATGAAAAGTGAGTTTGTTAAGATTTATTTTTAACTAACTAAATAACCCTGTATTTGAAATATTAATAGAATTTATTTTAACATAAATGCATTTTATAGGTATAATATGCGAAACGCTAAAATTGCTTCCGATATATTCAAATATCGACCCATGTCTCCGGAACAGTCAATGCTTTACTGGACCGATTATGTGATTCGTYATAAAGGTGCTTCGCATTTGAAGCCTCACTCACTKAATCTAACTTGGTACCAATACTTTTTATTGCATTTGATTGCTATGATAGTAATATTTATTTGTATTAGTTTATTAATAACATATAAATRGACGAAAATGTTTCGTAAACATATTTGGAAAAATTTGTTGAATATTAAATCAAAATCGGAAAAGTTAGTAATATAGATTTTATTTTCAGTATTTTTAGTTGCACAGCGACAATAATATGTATTCTAGAGTATATAAATAAATAAGAAACAAATTCAGGTATTACTATGCTTAAATTTTTAAATGTCGTTTTCAGCTTCTGTGTGGGTGAATTCCCCTGTTATGATCATAGAGATTGTAAATCATAGAGTACGATAATTTATAATAGTATAGATATTTGTTTAATTTATCGTTGTGTAATATTTCATCTTGAATATAAAAATAGATCATGACTGTTCTTTGTGGATTTGACCATGGCTAAACAGCATGGTATGTTGTCAACTTGGTCTGCGCAACTCGACTACGTCACACGGTCTCCTAACTATCATGTTTTCATTCAAATTTGAGACAGACTAACGTCATAATTCATGGAATAARATCAACTTTGCGTGTTATTTTACATGATATCAGCGATATGCGTATCACAGTAAACAAATAGTAGATTTTGACAACATACCATGTTATTTAGCCATGAATTTGACGTACCTACCGYCAGTTTCGAGTTAATAAACTGATTATTTTCTATTATTATTTATAAAAGTTTTATCATAATATTGTTTACATATTTAACAATAAAAAAGTATAATATCATTGTATTATATAGTTTGTATTGTGAAGTACCTACTCATGATCAAGTGTNTTTATTTATGTTACAAATATATAATTTATGAGTCTCTTTTAAGATTTTTGTGTTGCTATACCTATTTTTTATTATACAGATATGAATTATTTTTTGTTATTGAACAAGAATTATTTAAATATGAAACCAGGAGCCCATACCTGGTTTTTGTCCTAGAGGATATTGGGCTGCTCCTGCTATTCTTGGCTGGGGTTTTGCCGTTATGGCGGCCGGTACTTTGTAACTTGAAGGCGCTGCGTATATCCTACGATTATATTGTATATTTTATGTGTACATAAATATATAAATGCGATTTCATAGGATTATATGGGAGATGGGACAGAGGCGCCATTTGGAGTATAATCATGATGTAACGACATCAAGCATCTTGAATAATATTTTTAATTCAGTTGAAGTTAGGTTATAGTTAACTTATAGTATGTTCCGYACACGCTGTTGTAGCTATACGTTAAATTGGCCTAGTTACTTCGTTATACGTGCATCAATGAGCTCCCGAGTCCCGACTTCCGAGCAATAGTTATAATCATTATTGCATAGGCATTCACAGACTAATCGCAAAAACAGCTAGCATAATACCTATATAATAAAGCAGACCATCTATTTTTTACAGTTCGGTTGATTTCATTGTGAACAACTAATATGACAAAATTTACTTTTTATTAATTATTAATTAATTACTTATACCGTAATTATATAGGTACATTAGGAGGTATTACGAAATTACGATTTAGCCATTTAGGTACGAACTACGAATCATGATATTATAATTCATTGATTATMATATGTATGTACTCCAAATTAATACTCTAATGTCTCTAATAGTAAATTTGATGTATGATGTTACTGATATAAGTGAATAATATGTATTTGTAGGACGCAGGTATGGTTTGTCTACATAGAACAGAATGAAAATAATTAATTATAA